TTTTGACACCAGCTGCTTACATTGACTGGGTACTTTTGTCTCTATTACTAGTTTCACAGATCAACTTGTGTTAAGTTCTGTTCATTCAATAAGGCTGCTAAGAAAGATGGAATAATTTAAACATACAAGCAATGTATCTGTTAAAAAGCTTCTTTTCTAAGATAGGTAGAGCTAAACAAAAGCTGATTTTATACTGTATAACATGTTTTAGTCTTGGTCACTTAAGATAGTCGATTTTACCAACATTTCAAAATTTCAGACTACAGACCAACACTACCTACATTTGTATTCTTAAATAATACCTCTTTGGTGATAAGACATGCACTCTTCTTTAAATGAACAGTTCTATTACAAATAGCAAATCCTGAAACAAAGCCTGTCACTTGAAGCATACCCCTGGCCTACGACAGATTAAGAAATCTGAAGAAGATGGGCATACTTAAGGCACTGGGACTTATGACAATTTCTAGTAACTTGTATTTCTACTTGTCACGTGACAACATGCCCAATGTTCAACAGTGCACTGCAAGTTTCTTTGAGCCCCTAACCTAGAAAGTAGTAACTAGTTGCTAGTTCAGAAGTTGAGCTCTGCTTCTTCTCTGAGCAGTGTCTTGTCACTGGCAATCTCGGACCATTTGAAGTCACTGAACCTGGGCCATCATTCCTCTGATGCGAAGTACAGGAAAACTGTTCGCTTAGTGTTATAATTTGGTTCCAGAAGTCATGCTTACTTGTCCAGGGCACTGCAGACAGATTTATTTGCTTATCACCACCACCACAAGAACCTGTTGTTTTTAATGAAGGCACAGCCTGTGTGGTCTCTAGAGCTCCTCTAGTTTTCAAATTTAATCCACTAGATCAGATGCACATGTGGCAGTAGCAGAGGAAGCCCTTTAACACCTAGAAGTATTATTTAAATCAACTTCAGCCAGATTAGATATTAGCAATATTACAGCAGTTGCCTGGAACTGATCTTTTACTCATCTCCAGCACCCAAATTGAAACAACAACAACAAAATCTGATATTGGTAAAAAACAATATTTTTTTTAAACAAAAATACAATGAAAATGTTCTCAATTTGCACTAACTGGCTGGCTAAATAGCACAAACATGCCATCCCATCTGCTGAAGGAATGGTTAAACCATAGAGAAAGCGGTTTTGACTGGAGAGATAAAAATACAGGAAGCAAAACTTCAAAGGGGTAGGTTTCACTAGTTCTTAGAGCACTTTTTGTCTCCAGGTAGAATCTGGGAGGATTTCAGGCACTCACAGAGGCACAAAAGCTATTAGGAGGCCAATTGCTCTAAGTGTCACACTACCATGAAAAGCTGTTGTGGAATACAAGATATTACTTCTTGTATTTAGGAACTGAAGTAAAGTTTTTTAACATGCAGGATTTTAAGCCCTTTCTTTAGTGACTGCCAGCATATCCCACCTTCCCAACACCACTTAATACTGAAAGGTCTGTTTTTCAAAGTTTAAGGAAAAGAAAGGATAGAAAACTAAGAGAATACTAAATATAAACTTATTCCCATTAGTGCTGCAAACATGCCGAGAGCTTGATTATGGAGACATGTCCAGAACATGACCTCAGATGGATTTGGCCCATCCTGAGTGTTATGTGAAAGGTGAAACGTGTTACTGTATAACCTATTACTACCAGCTACATAATATTTAGAAAGCCTTTAAGTGACCTCTTTTCAGGAAATCTGACAATATGGCCAAGGGACAAAACCTCAAAATTTTAGTTTTCCAGTTGGGGTGGTTAATTTTTGTTAGTTAGCCTTTTTAAAACAAATGGCTGGAAGAACGTTCGTCATTTCTATATGGCATGAACAACTTATTAGCAGCAGTATGTTTGCCTGAGGATCTTGTCCCTGCCCCAAAACAAGAAGGTTCATGAGCTGCAGAGGTGCTGAGAACTTCCTTGTGTAAAGCTAGGCTGCCTGGGTACTTAAACTTTTCCTCCTGCTTAATTAACTTGTAAATCCATGTAATTAAGCATCTGAGCACACAGGCACTGTTTTAATCCAACGCTCAAAAAATTTTCTCCTGTTCACACACTCCGGCATTCC